TTAATTATGGAAATGGAAATTGAAAAGGTAAGCTTGACTGTGTTGACACAAAGGATATGGAAGTCCACGGTCTGAATGCTTTTTGCTGTTTTAATGCAATCTCTTGGTATTAATTTGTATTCACGTATATGGAAGCAAATTTACAAAGAACCTTCTGAACTCATGCTTACAAAATAAAGCCGCTTTTTCCACATACCAGAGAATATAACATGTAAGAATGCCACATTAAGTCATGGCTTTTAAATGGTATAGAATAGAAACATTAATCTTTTCAGAAAACATTTAGGACAGATGTGAAGATAGATATCGTACTGGCTTTTTATCAGGACTTTGACTAAATGTGATGGAAAAAGCAAAATAAGGTTACATTTTAACCTATATTTGCATGTGTAAGCACTTTCTGGAAGACGTGTATGCTCATCCATTGTCCCTCGCCAGTCCCTATGTAACGGAGCAGGTAAAGGGCAGCACAGAAAGGACAGAATTACAGTTAAAACACTCAATTCTCTTAACTCAAATAAACCAACCTCCAAATATAAACTACCTCACAACAGCTTTCATTGTTCCACAACTTGATGTGTGACATAAGGGATTAGGATACAAGTAATTAGGAAAGCAACAGTATAAATACCAGACAGGTAAAATGCACATGTGTATACATATTACATAGGCACACACAAATACATACACACACAAATGAGACAGCAATTAACTTATTTAAATACCTACATACAAGGCAACTGTGAAGCTGCACAAGCTGCAGCCAGTAACCATTAACACTGGAAGTTGCTTGAAACTTTAGGGAAGTAATTAACCTCCCGGCCCCTGGTTTTCAAGCCCAAGGAGCAGACCATAGAATTTCTTTTACAATTTATGAACAAGCCAAGGAATTTATATCACAGTCAGAGGATTCTTTTGCTGAATTAACCCCAGCTCCCTCTGACCCTAAGAAGTCATAAACCAACAGGATACAGCAGAGGGAGAATGTGCTATACTGTTTCAGCTGACCTACAGAGCGCTGTCTCTGTCATGCCAAGGCTGGAAACCCAGATGATAAATTACAGAGCAATATGCTAGGTTCAGATGCAAATATCAGCTCCTTCCCTCTATACATGCACATGCAGACATGTTCACTCACCCCAAACCAGCCCAGTTTCTGCAAAAGGCCAAGTACTGTTAGGGCTCATTTACAGAGTCTTACTCTAAGACAAAAGAGGGAAGAAAATTGCTTATTGAGGAAGCACGCATACATCTGAGTAAAAATATTTAAGAACACATGCTGCGTATTAAATAAAAGCCAAAAATCCATTGAGCTTCTCTTTTTTTATATGGATTATTAAGCATATCAAAAATACAATTCCAAAGCAGAACCAGAAGGGTACCCAAGAACCTTGACTTTTTACAAAGAACAGCTTTATAAATAAAAAAAAGGATAAAAATTGATACACAGCTCACTCTAACTTTTAAAAAGAACTCTGCCTGGCTTTATTTTGTAAATACAGAACAAAGCCTCTTATACAAAGTAGCTAATAAAACAAAGTCTAGCTGACCACATACACAGAAAATGGGATAACACAAACGTCTGCACCAGGACCTCAAACCTAATCAGCTGTAATCACTAAGACATGAAGGTCTTTGCAATATTTACACTTACGGTGTACTGCTTAGTTGCACAAAAAGCTTAGCCCCAGCTGAAGGCTTATTCACAAAGATGAATCATCTCTTGAAAATGGACAGTGGCTGGTTGTTTCACTGCTAGCTCAAAATGAATAGTGATACTTTGAAGTCTGACTGAAGAAAAAGGAGGGCACAGTTTTGAATTGATTAATTCAAAACCACAGAATTCACAGATACAAGGAGCACAAAGTATTCAACGCTGCAATGTTTAGAAACCCAACATCCATCACCAAATAAGTTTGTGGCTCCACTGTTTGATGAACAGAAAATTTCTTATTGCTCAGAAAATCCCTGAAAAGTTGTTAAGGATTTTCACAATGCAGTGAACTTTATTACGAAAAGCCATCAAATGAGTACTCAACATTTTTGCACTGTTTGCAGATCACATGGATTCCCAGCACCAGCTATCCTAATTTCTTTGGAAATGATGCATGCTATTCCTCAGAAAGCTATGCTTCCTCACACCCGCTGAACATCGGACAACAATTTCCTATTGTGATTAGTTTGCATGTATTATGAACATGAAGAACTTGGCTGAAGTCTTCAGGTGCAGCACAAGTCAAAACCACTGCTCCAGAAGTACAACATAAATCTAACTACGGCATCTTCTCACTAAACCTCACATAAGGCATTTTGCCATATAAGTTATAGGTTTTTTTCTTTTTTTTTTTTAAACCACAAGTCACAACTTAGTGGCAACTTCCCCCTCCCTGCCCCCTTTTTTTTCCCCACATTTCATCAGGATAATCAAGAAACGGTCAGGAATCATAACAGAATGGCATCAAAAACAACCATGAAAATGTATTTCATTTGATTCTCACAGTGAATCACAAAAATCTCCACCAAAAATGCGATTGACATCACAATAGCAGCTAGACTGGAAGAAGAAAGGATCAGCGTTTATTTATCACAGGTCATTATAAATTAATTTAGCAAGGCATTTTTCCTGAATTAGTAACTCTCTTTAAAATGAGTGCTTCTAGCTTTTTAGGTAAAGAAAGAGGCCTTGAAAGTTTCCCTCCTTCTGCAGTGTTATTCTTTCCTAAATTGTCTTCACACTGTGTATTCCCGTAATTCCAAGCTGTACCATCTCCTGGCAAGAGGAGATATGGTCTCTTCCACCATATTTAATTTACAAATGTCCTGGAAATCTTCAGTGCCTTTCTACTTCAAGTAAGTTCAAAATGTCATCGTTTACTGTTTCTCATATAATAGCGGCTACAAATTTTGCAAGGCTCTATAGTCAAGGTTACAGGTCTCTGGTGTGTGGTTTCACGAAACTCACCTTAGCCTAACTCCTAAATTTAGGAAAGCCTGCTTGAGAGCGCTGAAACATTAAATGTAACTGGTAGCAGCACATGTGTGAAAAGCATTTTCATTCAGACAGCTATAAAGCATTTTCCCAAGAGCTATCTGCACTATCAACTTGAAAAACTAGGGCCTTTCTACTCTGTGCAAAACTGATGTGTAACATCCGTAGTACACAAAAAACATATCTAAAGTTTAAGGAAAGGGCCTGTGAAATAGAAAAAAAAAAACAAAGCACCATACTGTAAAGGCAATAAAGCAGACTTGCCTGCAAAAAAACATTGGAATGCAAATCCAGAGATTTTAATGAAGAATTAGAGTAACATTTTGATATTCCTTTAAGCTTTGGGGGGTCAGGGGGGCGAAATCTGTATAAGTCCTAATTTTCACAGAAGTCTAATATGCCAAAATATCAGAAAGTTAAAGGGTAATGTAGTTCCTCATGGGATGGCAAGGTGAACGTAAGGAACTATCCATAATTAAAACAGCAAAATAACTTCATGAAAAAAGTTAACACAGATTAGAAATCAGGGCAGTCATATTCCTAGAAGCTGGACTGATGTGCTGAGTGACTAACACCAGTACTGAATTGCTTCGTTTTACTCCTGTCTACCTGATTCTTTAAAGTACAGCCTAGGTGGGGAAGTGGTTGGTCCTTCCAAAAGGCACAGTCCCCATGGGTTCTCTAAATCCTCATACCACATGCTCCATGAGTGTGGGGTTTTTTTTTTCTTCCTCTTCTCTGCATCTTCAGGAAGTCAAAAAGAGAAATCCCCCTTATGGGACAGAATACTGAAGAGAAAGACAGAACAGGTGAGATTGTGCAGGAAGGCCTCTCAAAGGAGTTGTGGGAGAAAGAACAAGAATAAAGAGGAGGAATGGACAGAACTGCTGCATTGTGATTCTGGGTCTTGCCAGCTTTGACCTTCAGTGTCTTTTGTGTCTATGATTATACAGTATACGTGAACCACCTGAGCAGAATTCATATACACAGGCTTATATGTATATGTTTTTCTACAGCTGCTATGAGGGATAAATGTTCCAAACATGGAATTTAGTAAAGAATAAGAGCTAAAGATAAAAGTCAGTTTCAGCCTTTCATCCTGACTGCAGGACCAGGATAAAAATTTTCTAGTGTCTCTAGCAGTCAAATTCAAAAATCACAATATATCAAAAACCAGTAAAACCTGTAATCTTAACAGGTAGTCTTGATAGACTGAAGTGATTAAGACTTTTCCAAACATAGTAGAAAGCCAAACAACTAAACACACCAATTCTGTCATCTCCCTGCAAACCAAATTTGCTTACGTGAAGTGAATGGAATGTTGTAGGAAGGCTATTTGTTAACTGATGCTTTGACGGCCAAAGGCAAATCTATACCACTATATGTTGGAAACAAATTAGCACAAAGAAATCCCTTTCAGTTGCCTGCCACTTATTTGAATGAAAGTGTAAGATCACAAAATGAAACTTATCAACATGACTAATTTACTTTCAGTGTGTTTACAAAAGCACATATATACCATGATAGGGAAACAGTAAGGCAATCTGGGTGGCAATATAAAATAAGTTACATAACTCAGACCCAGGACTCTTAGGAGATCAGCAGAATGAGTCAGATGTTGCAACAGAAAATGAGTTAAAGCACACTCAAGGTAGAACATTCTAATTTGGGTAACACGCAGGTTGTGATAAGGTCAGAAGTTACATTAATATGAAAACAGAGTTTCAAAACACTTTAGCAGCCACAGAGATGAATGAACTCATAGACATATAACTATTCATATGTATACACACACACACACACTCATACGTAATTACAGTTGAGAATAGAATCTGGTTTTACACATTAAGCAGGTAAAATGTCTGAAAAAGATGCTGTGCTAGGCCTACCTGTAAATTTGCATTTCTGTTTGTAGATAAATTGTTTGCAGACCAATTGTGGACATACTTACAGATACCTTGTTATATATTTAGAAAGTCTTCTCTGTTCATTACAATAAACAACACCGTACCTGTGTGGCTTCGAATATGAACTCTCAGCGTTCCATTGCTTGCAAACTTCTGTCCACAATACGGGCAAATCTTCTCTTTTTCTCCTGTGTGAGTCTACATGGGGTGGGGAAAGACAAGAATGAAAGCTTCAGCATAGCTTTAAAAGAAGTGAAATATGGAATATCTTAACTGTATTGACATTGACCACTATTGTCTCCATTATATATTTTACACCATCACATCAGGCAGAGATTCTAAGGAATTAGCTATAGGTGTTCTTTCAAATTTCTTCTAAAATTTCTAAACAAATCTCATCATTAATGGCAAAATAAACTGGCTTTCCAGCTCCTAAGTTTACTACTTCCTAAATAGTTACTATTAAAAATGCCCAATTCACCTTTGTGTATTTTCATGATTGCAAGAATAAGACACCTATTTTTCAGTCTGGTATCTGTGATAGTGGTTTCTAAACCAGCAAACAATAATTTTTTATTAATCTTCATAAATGGGTCTATTTTTAAAAGCTTATCATTTCACAGAATTTTATTACATTATGAAATGTAGTGAAAATAGTTTACCTAATCTAGTGTAACCTTTTCTGTTGCAAACTTGAACTGGAGCTTTAAAAGGTCTCTGTGGAGATTTGTGCATATGATTTCTGACTGCCTCATATGAATGGAACTCAGCCATCAGTTCATCTGATATACGACAGACAGCAATCCTTCAAAGTGCAAGTTCTCGGTGATTTCAGTCAACACAAATTACGTACTGGATCCTATCTAGTTTGTAATAAATGTTAGAATCAGACTGCATTTAGAGAAATGATCACAAGAGGCATATTGCAATTGTCACTAACATTAAATCATACACTGAGCTTGTCTTTTGAAATCAAGCTTTTAAGGCTAGAGCGCCTTGCCGATAGGAGAAGAATTATTTCAAAATGGAAAAAAATAATCACACACTCCCATCCAAGCTGTGCAGTCAACAGCAAAACCACCTTGAAGTAAGTTACATACATGGGTTCTCAATTTTCCACACTGTACTTTCAACGCCCAATTCTGAACTGAAGATTTATCAGCCTATTGAATAACTTTTCCTTACAACTGTGACTGCTTTTTTTAGTGGAGAATTTTGGATTACTTAATTATAAGCATTAACTGAATTTAAACGGGATAGGAAAGATAACACCTTAAATTATATGTACAGTTGACAATTTGGGTTTCAAGCTTTGCACATGACTCTCTTCAGATAGGGAAATTAATTCTTATTTTCATGAAAGACATTGAAGAGATATAAAATTCTTCATTACATCATAAAAACCTTATCGCACATAGTACATACTATGCTGCAGCTGAAGGAAGAGTAAATGAGATATCATTTCAATACTGGACAGAATTACTTAGTCTTCATTCCCTGACATTAAGGATATGAACGTTAAATCCCTCTTGATTAGGATAGAGTTCTTTAGAAATCACTTGTATCTCTAATAGCAACATTGGGAGACACCAGACAGACAGCTATTAATTCACTCCAAACAACAACAACAACAAAAAGAAGGAAAAGAAAAAAAAAGATTTCTAAGAGCAATACAACTACAAGGCTCACAAACATACAGCTAGTCCTAGTCTGACAGCAACACAAAGCAATAGCAATTGCAATTAAGAAGGAATGTCAAAAAAAGAATAGGGATAAATGATAATCAGTAGCTGCTTTCCATTAAAATATAAATACATATATGTATATGGCTATTTTTAATATGAAATAGTAAGTCATACTGAAATTTTTAGAAAGGAGTCTGAGGAACAGAGGTTTCAAAATTTATGCAGAGCTCGTCAATGATTCCAGGTAATGTTTTTGATTTTGGGATCTTATGATCCATCTTGGCAAGATCCTTCACAAAAAGTTAATCTCAAATCAATGCATTGGTATTATAGGCTAGGTCTGTTACTCAAGTCATTAAAACAAGTAGAAAAGGATGAAAAGGATTATGTGTCTGAAAAGCAGTCTGTTTTTTCCAAACTGATTGTTTGTCTAATGAAAGATAATATGCCTTCCTAGAGTCTTGCTCCCCAACAACGTAATCAGAAACAAATTGCAAGTTTATTTTGCATGCCCTTCATTTTTGAGTTCCTTAGCCCAATATACTTGGGCTTGAAAAACAAATGTGGTTTATACTCCTTATTCTAAAAGTAGTAAGAGAAGAGAGAAAGAGTATCCTATAACAAAAGTTCTCTATTACAGCAAAACTCAACTGATTTCACAGGCTGAACAACTGATGAACCAGGTTATTTGAACCTTAATCATCTTATAGTACACGTACTCAAATCTACAAACAAGGCAACCCCATGTCATTCTAGTTCTTCTGAAGTACAGGTGAAAGTCTTCCACTAAGGGCATCTGGGAGACACACATCTTGGTTATTCAGTTATGTCACTCAATCAAAAGAAACTTTGTTTTCCAGCAACTATAATTACTAAGTAACTTAATGCATATTAAATATGAGACAAGCAGCATTTAAAACAGACTGAAGACGGACAGCAAATGCATTAACACACATAAAATGAAGATCAAGACCTATAAAAGACCACAAAAGAAACCAAAGAGACTTTGTTCCTAGTTGGTTCCATTACTTTTTGCAATCTGTAAAACACACATTAAGGAGGTAGTGCTGTCCATTACATTAGAGAATTTAATAGTCTGCTATCTGCCAGTAACTTGATTTAGGCTCCAAAGATGTGTGCTAGTTCCTACACGTGTAAGACACAGTAGGAGTTGGAGAGACATTGAAAGACTCCCTTACATTTTCTCTTCAATTTTAAATACAGATTTGTGTTGTAATGCACGGTACTCACCATACTCATGTGCTGAAGATACTGTACCAAGTAAGTCAGTTGCACTCAGTTTTGTTACTACAATTTTACATGCATATATAAAGTGCATACTACATGGAAAATAATACATGCATGATGTTTTTCAACAAACTCTCACATGAGCTGATTTTCCTCAGCTGATTTGTTCTTAATTCAATTATTTTCTTCACATTTCTTCCCTGTAACGTAAATCTTACCTCAGGCCAAACTAGTGAGCAAGCTTTCTTCTAAAGTGTACCCCAATTCCATTGCAGAGATCAGTGGAAAGGAGTATGGTAAGAGCAGTGCAGCAAGTCCCATCCTGCTACACACCTGATGCTGGAGTACCTACACTGGATTTATATGTATGCACCCACTGCACATTCTGCATGCCACCAATAACCCCACTATTGCAATAAGCATTTCAGAATGTTATGCGCTGTCACAACTTTCTATTGAAAAGCCAGAAATGCAGAACCATCTGGGGATTTTATGTTTAGTCACAACCTTAAGGGCACAGAAGGAATGAATACAATAGAACTGATTCTACTCACTTTTTTATGACTCTTCAGGACTGAAGGTGTCACAAAAGCTTTGTCACAGAGATCACACTTGTATTTCTTATGTCCATCGTGCACAACTTGAATATGAACATTTAATGTGTCCTTTCTTTTGAAAGTAGCATCACAGTGATCACACTTGAAGGTCCTCTCACCTTATGAAGAGAAAAACAGAGTTTAAAGATACCAGATTTTTGTGGAAATCACTAATGCTTATTGTTTCAGAAAAAATGAATAAAAGCAACAAAGGCAAATGAAAAGCTGGGTCCTGAGAACAGAAAGAAAAGAAATATCACTTCACGTAAAAACATCATTGGGAAATCAAGAAAGTAGAAAGTAGCCATCACAACAACGTAGCCAGAAATGTGAGATTAAACTCTATAGCCAAAGGTGAAACAGCAACCAGTGGAAATGGCTTCCAGTGAAATGGAGCGCAGGTTTTATCAGCACCTCCAGTAACAGACTCTTTTTATAGTAATAAGTGAAAAGATGAACTAGGCTTCATCTTTTGAAACTTAAATGGTAAGAGACATCTTCCTGAATTTAAAACAATTCTCAAAACAAGAAATACTTGCTTTGAGTAACCTATCTCATTCACATCAACAGAGGCAAACTCATATGACAAAGATGAAGTAACTTGTAAGTGTTACAGCAGCATTACTATTCAAACTGTGGTGATGTGGTTGAAGGTTATGGCAGAGGCCAGGTTAATATTGCTCATAGTGTTAATATTCAATGAATTACCTAAGAGAGGGGAAAAGACATTGTATTCTGAAAATCTGCACATATCTTTTGAGAAAAAAAAAAAAAAGACGCGATTCTTCAGAGAAATCATTACAATGAACCTACTCTTTATCACTACTGTGAACGCAGAAGAGAATATTCTCTTCTATTTGTTAACTTCTTGATTAAAATTACAAGTTAAACATCTGCAACATGGCATTCATTCAGAAATCCACAGTCTAAACTGTAAATCAGGTGCCCATATCCCAGAAAACTTTCCAAGCAGTTACATCACCAAGAAAGATCACCATAATCTAAGGACTATCCTGCACTTCTTATTTTTCAGGACAGAGGTCTGATCTGCAGCCTCCTGATCCATATGATTAAGATACAGACTTGTATAGGCACACGCTACTTTTTCCAGTAGCAATGATGCACATGGAGAGGCACACTTATTTCCTTGCTATAGCTCATTAAAGGATAAAATCATCTCAGCCTTGGTCCCAGTGCGAAGGCCAATATGAATGGAAATTGATTTCAGTACGCTGCATATTAAAGCCCATTTGGTGCTACATGTTGAAGCACCAAAAAAATTTTTATTACCTATTATACATGTAATACATATAAGTGAAGCTTATCAATACAATGGTGCCTCAAGTACCCACAGACATTCCAAAGCCTAGATAACCTGTTTCTCTCCCCCATAAATCAACCATAACTGCCCCCCACCCCCAACCTCTCCTCCTCTGTGGTTTGGAAACAAAAGTGGTTTTGTCTTAGAGGACACAGGAAGAATATGGTATTAGAGTGTACGTTGTCTTATCCTAAAATACTTTCAGTGTAGCTATTCAGAAGAATTTTCAAGGTCAACAGGGATGCAATTTAATATGCTGTTATGTGGAGGTTTAACACTGATACTGATTCTAACTGTTCAGTGAATCACTGCAGTCCTCGTCTTGGGAACATGAGGCTACCCTGCTAAGAAAGTGAAGTCATTACTATTTTTACTGAAGTAACATGCAATTTTCTACTGCTTCAACAAAGGAAAAATATTCAAGTAATTTCCTTTAAAAGTTACTTCTTATAAGAACTTCTAGGATTCATAGATTTTTTTTTTTTTGGTAGTCATTTGTTTCCTTCCATCTTTTAATAACTTAGCTCCAAGTCTGAAAATAAATTGAAAAAAATGAAGCCATACCAGGCATAATTTGAGCAAATCACCATGTCTTCTGAAGGAAGACATATTTGTATGACTTCCATAAATTTATGAGATACCATTATGGTTTAAGACACGATTTGACGTTTGTTTAGTTTCAGAAGGATTATCCTTTTTATCCTGAAGTTTTGTTTGCAATCATTCCTATAATTTTCAGTACTGCACTTCTATTATGATTGGAGAAGATAAATGACTTTCGAACAACAACAACAAAAAATGAGGTAGTAAAAGATCAACCAGTTTTCAAATAAAAAACCTCCAAAGTCAGGGAATTTCAGAACTAACCTACTGTTCAACCATATCTCCTCTGTGTGTACACATTATCATAGTCTTCAACTATATACAGTTGCAATGCCAAGGTATATATAGCCAGGTCCTGGCTTTGATTTAGCAAAATTTTTCATGCAAAGTAATGGGAAGCCTAGAATTGGGTATTTTTTCAAATGTTATTCTGGATGTAGGCAAATAATCAATCAGTGTTTCTCCTCAGCTTCCTTATTTAGCAGAAACCCTGTATCTCATTACAGAAAGGCCACCAGA